CTTGAAGTTTAGGTAGTATCTTCAAAATGTACAAATGAAGACTCAGTTGAGAAATGAAGTGAAATGAAATCTGTCTTCACTAGAGGTCTTCAACAGAAGCTGAACAGTCATTTGAAAGATGTTCTAGTGAGGTGTATTTCAAACTTGGCAACTTTAAGATGTGTGGACTTCCACTCCCAGAATTCCCCAGCCAGTGTGCTGCTTGAGTGAGTTCTACTCTGAGCAGGAATTAGACCAGATGACTTTTAAGGTGACTTCCAACTCTATGATTGTTTGGTTCTGTGAAATGACATGACATGAATGAATGAAATGAAAAGAAATTAAAATGTGAGCTACACAAGTCCACTTTTCAATTATTTTAGGGAACAACTTAGGGCCAAATGAGACTTCCTTCAGAGCCTTTATGGTTTTTTTCCTTGTTTTTAAACAGAAATAACAGCCTCTGTTCATTCTTGAGTAGTTTAATTCTTTGCTACTGGGCACGAAAGGGCATTGCATTATATGTAGGCATATTATATCATCGTCATTGTTGTCATCATCTGCAAATAGGACCAAAAAATAAGTTGAGGGCTTATCCAAAAATACATTCTGCAGATAGGCATTTGATCTGCCAAGCATCTTCCTCTAACCACTAATTTCCCATAAGGAACTTTGCATCCTGGGACAGTGGAGAGCAAATATTGGCACTGCATTAAGAGGGAAAGGCATCACATGAAAGGGTTTGGGTTGAGATCTCAACTCAGAAGACGTGTTATGGAAGGCACCAGCTTGGTTCCCTTACAAGCAGCCATGTCTCCTGAGCCTCTCCCCACTGCAGAGAGCCAACTTCAACATCAGCCATAGACAACAAAGCCCTTGACAGAATGCTACCCCGCCTTCTCTGCACCACCAAGCCATGGGAAGGAAGTGATCAGGGCTTTTTGCCACCAAAGAGGATGAAGCCCATTGGATTACCGGGACCATAATCAAGATCCCCCTCCTTTCCCCTCCATGTTTCATCCCAGTTTAAATGCTACATCAGTTTAGCAGCAGCTCACAAAACCTATGCCTTTCAGTAGAATGTGTTGGTTAGAAAAGTGCTACCAAATTCCTTCTGATTTTAGGGACCACAGACTTGGCCTACCATATACCAGTCTTCTACCCTGGCTTATGTGGCCACCTTGGCCAGAGTAGAAGGGAGTGATGGTTTATATTCTCTGGATATGGCCTCAGATTGGACAAGGCAGGTTTTCTGATGGCAAGGTGAACATATGCAAATTGCTCCAGGCATCCCTACATGTGGAGCATCACTGCTAAGAATCACTCCTCTTTTTTGTTGAATTCAAGTTTCAAGGATGAGCAGATGCCAAGGAATCCTGCGTGTCCAGGAATATAAGGCATTTTTTTAAAAGAACAAAAAGGGGTAATACTATGAAAATCTACCCCATGTGATGTCTGAATGTTCCTTGCTCTAGATTGGGAATATAGTCCCTGTCAGGGTATCTGTCGGAAAGGAATCAAAAAAGTCAAAATGGCAACTGCAACCATGAAATTAAAGCTATGCCCTCTTTTTACATGCGGTGCATGAGCAACGCATGTAAAAACAGGTGGGGCTTCAATCACGCTGTCAAAGCCACCATCTTGACTTTATGATATCCCCCCCTCCAATGATGCTGGTGGGCCAGGGGTGTGTGGAATATTTTAGGCCAAGCACCATGTCTCATCTCCAACTTGGGGTCCATGTGATAATTAGAAATAATTTCAATGATTTTAAGATGATCATCCTGAATGGATTCAGTTATTTTCTTCTTCCACAGTCCAAATGACAATCCCAAGGCCACCTCATTGTTGCTGCATCTCCAGGGCCCTACAGCTGCAGGGGCCATGACCCAACCCAGCCATCTTTAACTGAGCCCCATTTTGTTGTTCTTGAAATTAGGTTCCAACCACAATGGAAATGTTCTGCTGCTACGGGCCAGTGATTCCTCAAGGCTATGGGGCTTGCTACAATCCACAGTCACAGTATATCTTATTCTGCATTTCAAGCTTCAAAAACTGTCCGGAGACCTCTTCCAGCAAATTTGTCAAAGCCATAAGTGAAAGTCTAATGGACTTGAAGGAGCTCTGTAGCAAATGCAGCTTGACCTCGACAAGCATCCAGGCTAAACTGAAAGGATGTCATCCTGCTACCAAACCCTAATTCTATGTGTGTCTTTTCCTGCCTCCTCTTTGCAAACCGTTCTTAAAGTAGAGTGATGTTTCTGTGGAAATGCCAGCTATTTATTGGAGGCAGGAGAACTTTATTTTTCTTTAGCGAGTATTCCTATCAATATTTATCAAGACAGGAGCTTAAATTATCTAGAAAGCTGACATTTCAGTACTGCACAGAGCAAATGTGTGAATAATGATTGACCCAAAGAATGAAATTACATGCAATTCATCTCAATGTGTAATTTGAAATAACCGGTTAACACTAGTGTTTTAGAAATAGCTGTGGTTAATGTGCAATATATCCCCTTCACAAGAGTTCCAACTCTCTATGATTTATTTATTTATGGAATGTAGAAACCGTTTCAGTCTTGAAGGACTCTAAACAGGATACAAAGAGCAACAATGGCATAGCCAATGCAAACAATAAAAAATACAGTAAGACCTAAGAAATTATGGCTGGTGTGGGTCTTCCAGGCTGTGTGGCCGTGGTCTGGAAGTTTTGTTTCCTAACGTTTTGCCGGCATCTGTGACCGGCATCTTCAGAGTGCAGGAGCACAGACAGGAGCAGTTCTCTCTGTGCCCAGTATGCCACCCATGAACGCCTTCAACAATACTAAGAAATTATATTGTACGAACCATATTCCCCACTTCCAGGTCAAGACTCTCAGAAAGAGATGCTTACCAATCATTTTAAGGATCGCTGTGTGACCCCCAATTTTGATAGGGTTTACTTTGATGTAGCCAAAGCAAACATGTCTACTCCCAATGGTCTGGAATGACTTTGCCCTCTTTTTTCCCCTTGAACAATTGCTCCATGTGGCGCTTAGTCTCAAGAGAAGCCAAAGGGCATCATGGATGATGATGAAGGTTGGTCACATATTTCCAAGAATCTATTACAGGAATTATCCTTCACAAGAGTGCAGTAAAATCTGAAGAAAATTGGGTTACAAACCAAGTAAGATTGGAAGGCATTTTCCTCCTCTTAAATTTCTAACAGCCATTTTGAATCATATATTAATTAACTAATTACTGTCAGCCTAAAAGGTAAATCATTCTAAGAAACCAGTGCCATTTGGTCAGGACTACCCTCATTGTAACAGCTATAGTAACAGAATCTTGCAAGTCTGAATGTGCTTCCCCCCCCCCTTACTTTATCTTTGTGTGAGCTAGGGAGGGGCTTGTCTGAGATGTTTTCTCAGGTTATTTTCTTGGCTTGGGCTCAAGCCCCACTTATCTGACCACTGCCTTAGTAGTACCCTTTCCTCCTGCTTTCAAGGCCATTCCCTCTTCCCTCTACAATTACTAGCTCAAATGCTTAAATCTTCACCTGATATTGCACCTGTTTCATATTCTCTTCAGGGTGAGTTATAATAAGTAATGCATGTTTTGTTTCATTAGAAAAAGTTGTTACAATAGCAAA